ATTGTGGTGTATGTGGTGTGTGTCTGGGTTTGCGATTGGTGTGTGTGTGTATGTTGTTGTGTGTGTTTCGATTGTGTGTGTTGTGTGTGTGTGTGTGTTTTGCATTGTGTGTGTATTGGAATGGTGTTTCGCTGTGTGTGTCGTGTGATGTTGCTTGTGACGTGTGTATGTGAACAAAAAAAAAAAAAAAAAAATAAAATGTGTGTGTGTTGCGATTGTTTGTTGACTCTGTGTGTGTGTGTTGCGATGTGTTGTTTGTGTGTGTGTTCGATTGGCTGTGTGTGCATGTGTGACTGTGTTTCATTGTGTGTTTGTGTGTGTGCGCAACACCACACAATTGCATCACACACCCCCCATCGCAACAAAACACTGAATGAACACACACACAATCGCCAAAAACACACAACACACTCGCAAACAACACACACTAATCCAAACTACACAACACAATGCAAACACAACACACATCGCACACACAAACAATCGCAAACACACAACACCATCGACAAACACCAATGTGGTTTGAATTGTAGTCTCGTAGAGATGACACACGCGAGATGAAGATAGGACAGGGTTAAAAGGAAAGGTCGCCCGGGCATTCGCTTGGTGTTGATCGGAGAAACCATGGAAAACTGATAGGAGTAGCCGGCAGCTAGATTTCTCAAGATATTGGTTGAATTCCACCTATACTCTATCAAGAGTATTCGGACACGTCTAAAATGTTATGGTTAGGTTGTTGTTTTTTTTCGTGGAGGGAACGTGAACCCCTATTTTGTCACGTCTCAGGCCTACGTTGTTTTTAAACATGGAATTGCTTCCCATGGACGAAGAGGAATTTCGAAGATAGCGATTGAATCTTTCAACATGATCGAGATCCTTGTCATACTGCACGGCCTGTGGCTGAGTGGTTACACAATAACAGCTCCATAATGAACTGACCTATAGTCCTGGCTTGAATCCTAACCAAACTTTGGATGGTTTGGAACGCCAACTTTGTGCCAGGTCACACCGACCTACATTTATACCTCAGTGTAGCACTCCTTGAATAATGTGCTGCCATTTCCCAAGAAACCTTCCAGCACCTGATTGAAAGTATGCCTGAGAGAGTGGAAGGTTAAGGAAGGGCCAACTCTCTATTTAATTTCAGTATTACATTTCAGTATTACTTACAAGAACTTGTAAGTCATTTTTAGCTACGTGTCTAGATACTTTAGATTACATAGTGTAGCTCTGTAACTAGTGTCAAAATTCCTGCCACCGTCGGGATTCTAACCCTAGGACTTCCGCTTAGAGACACTACAGTGACATCAATTGATACCCTGAGCTACCTAAGCCGGTTGATGGCAAACTCAATTGTTGGACAGGAGCCAGGTTGGTGAGTAACATGTAGTAAAGATTCGCATTCATTACACAAACGTTGGGTAACTTTTTCTTGACCAGCTTTACTTCCCTTTTAATTTCATTTCACAAACTCGAAAACGTTTGCAGTACTACAATGAATTGACACTGATATTAGCTAATAGAATGCATTACATAGCTAATAGAATGCAAGAAACTCACTTAAAACTTTTTTTTTAGGAAATGCCTACTCGCATGATTGTGTGATTAAATATAGTTTATTGCGAGTTTAATTCAGCGATGAAGGTAAACAAAGCGGACTTTTGGAAATTCGGTGTCCATTGACGTGGCGATGAGTGACGGTGAGGACATCAGTTTGAACTAATTCACACGCATGCATGTTCTCATTTTCTTGTGAACATATTTTTCATAACTTTTATGTAGAGTTGCCTCCTCTTAGATTTAAGCAGTCTTCGTTTCAAGTATAATCTCCGGGTTATTACACTATTTCAGAGATGAAGTGGTTAAAAATACAACATGTCATTCAAAGAAAATAATATTATCCCTCTTGCAACTGGACAAAAATAAAATAAAGGATAGATTTTTCATTAATTACTGTTAGAGATTTTCAACTATTTTAGTTCCAACATTTTGTATATTTTTCTTACACCTTCCTTCATGGAAAAGGAAGTATTTACGTTCATCTGGTAATGGAATAGATTTCGAATCTGTCTGGCTAGTGTCTAGGATTGTCTAACTGGTGTGGAAAATCCTGGAACCGTCGGGACTTCTCGGTCAAAAGCACTATCTGAAGTTTGCGCGTCAGCCCGCGAACGGGCGAAGGCCTACTCGCACAAGCAGTGTCCCTGCCTCGCGCTATGGTTTTAAGGGGTACGTGTGCTTAGCACGAAGACATCCCTACGCTGTATTCTGGTCTTCTCAAACTGAGAAGTTTTTTTTCTCATCGTCACACAGCAACATATACTAGGACATTACAAGGAGGACGCACACTAGAATCTTGCCCGACCGGTAATCTAACCCGGAGTCGCGTCATGGAAAGCAAGCACGCTGGCCAATGAGCAAAACCGCGAGGCCTCAGAGGCATTATAGTGACATCAGTTGATACCCAAGTCAGCTATGCCGGTGTTTTGTATTTTTTGTTCAACAAATAAAAATAGTAAGACTTTCGCAATGCAATTCTAAAACGGTGCATTCTAGTGACTTTGAGTGAATGATTTTTCACCACCCAATTCACAAATGTGATGTTTTCTGGATATTGTACATTTTTAAGGCCTTGACTATTTTGGATTGGTAAGAGTGAAAGGACTTGAATATCAATTTTATGGAAAATTAAACACTGATATGCTATGCTACGTAACAGTAAGGGCGAAAGTTCTACTCAGATTATTAATAACGCAAGTAAAGTGGCTGAATGGGGCGCCGAAGTCGACACGCGTCATCGCACGGAGGCTAGTTGTTGATTTAAAGTGCTGATACAATCAGTCAAACAATTATTTTTTTAATCTGCTGAAATATTTGAAGAATTATTTATCAGTTTTACTGAAAATAGAACATTCAAATGTGTTCTAATATATTTCAGAAATTTCACTGCATTATCTTCCTGTAGATGCATTTTCCATAAAACTGATCAAATAAATTAACTGTATGTTTGTATCCCTCTTGTAGACAAGACCCCACATCCAATGAAGATATCAGCCTCTCAATGTCATTCAGGTCATCGTGCACAAAGTTCTCTGATCTACAAACCTCGACGGAACGCGGCAATCAACGGTAAGTTGTACTCCTTTGGTTCGTTGTTAAAAACGTGTCTTGAGAGTCAATGATATAGTGCATTAATGTGGCGGATAACTCTAAGGCACTTCGTTTGTACCAAATTCCCAAATTCAAAGAGATTTACATGTGATTTCATTAAACATATATCTTTAACATATATATTAACATAAACATATATAATATAATAATAACTTAAACATATCTTTTCTGTACACCTTTATTGATACCATAATTCTTCTCATACGAATATTTCTGCAAATAAAATGTGTAATTTTGATATTAGGTTTCCTGGAAGGACTAGTGAAATTTTAAAGAAGAAAATGTCTTTTATTAGGTGAAAAATCAAATAGTTTGTGTGATACCTACAAATAAGTGATAAGCACAGAATTGAACGTACACAATCACAAGCGCGCTTTGAAAAGTACCAGTTGAAAGGTTTTCTTGGGTACAAAGTTGTAACAAACAGATTGGTCACATTTGCAGAAGGGATCGTACTGGAAATGGCTCCGAAAGGAAACTGAAACGATGGAACGGTAAACGGTGGAAAAACAGACTTATTGTGAATTTAGCCTTCGGGGGAAGAACACTAAAAGGTATTGCGATGTCAATGGAAAGACGTCATTCAACTATTCAAGGTATGGTAGATCAGTTAAAGTACGATGGCAGATTAATTAATAAAATAGGCGGACGACGAAATCCGATACTGAACGAACGAGATAACAGAAATCTTGTCAATAACTTGCAGGAATCGTTATAACACGTGTAATGCGTGTCGTTAAAATGACTCCGTGGGCATTTTCAATACAGAGAACTCTTCAAAAATTGTCCAAAAGGTACTACAAGACGTATGTTACAATGGGAGAGTAGGGAAAAAAGCCTTGAATTAGTAAGGCAAATCTACACAATATACTGCAGTTCGCGAAATATTTCAGACACCACCAACGGATTACCGGCAAACAGTGATTTTTAGCAATGAAATTAAATTAAAGATACGTGTGGACGAAGTGTAACGCAGCGTCGAAAGATGTGCAACTAGATTGGCAAGGGCTCTGTAATGGTACCGGGAACAACCTAAAGCTAGCAGCGTCCAAAAACCAATTTCAACCAAATTATATACAAAAAATTTAGGCTAATTAAATGCTCTATACCCGAATTTTAGGCTCTTCTTGGTTTCCCGAAATCGTGGGCGCTGCTATAGCGCGTCCGAAGTTAAGAATTAAGTACAGGGCCTTATGGACTTTACCAGTAAACAAGCATACCCCTCGTTTGTAAGATTTCAAGACAGTTTTAAACCCTCATTAACATAATTTTTCATTACAACAAATACATTAGTAAAATACCACAACCACACCAAAATAAGAGAATAGTTTCCATAGCAACCGCTAAACCTCGGAGACACGTAGTTTAAGCGTGAAATAAACTGGAAATAACCTAGAAATGTGAAAACAGAGGCGGACTGTTCGTGAGTTTCGCTTCATTGTATTTGTAATTTTCAATTCGTCTGTACTTTATTAACATTCTCCAATCAAGTTAGAATAAACTTCTTTTTTATAATATTTATTTGTATTTTATCTTTGTTTACAATAATTATATATGGCAAGATGCCAGCATATAATTTGAAGGTAAATATTACCCACAACTTAGAAGAATAACGTAATGAACTATATTTGAAAAAATACCATTGTGTTTAAAAATAAATAAATTAAAAAGGGAGAAAATTAATTATTTAAATTATGGAGGATGGGAAATGTTTTAAAGGAAACATTAACATATGGAAATTTGGAAAATAATTTGATCCTAAAGCAACATTTTTAGATGCATGTGAAATAAGTAAATTATAAAAGTTGTTTTTGAGATGAAAGCAGGGTTTAAAAGAATCAGTTTTAAGATCTTTAGGTGTTTTTTGGGATTCTTATATTATTATACGGATTTACACAATTTTTTTAAATTTTCACAATTGTTTCATTAAAAAACAAAAAAAAGTTTTTAATGCATTTCTGAAAGTGTTATATTTATATACTTATTGAACACAGTTTATTAATTTCACCGAATTCACATCATTTTTTCATACTTGTCAGATTTTATTTTCAAACCATGCTTTTTCTGCAATCATTTATCTATCCTTAACCTGCACACGCGCTTTTGGTCATTATATTTTTAAACGGACACCAGCATTCAAAATTATCGTATTTTTAAATTAATTTGTTCATCAATATGGGTTCACTAACTACCAATGCAATAACACAATTCAGGAAAAAATGCGAAATATTTTATTCAAACATGACGTGAAGTTCCTACCAAGTCCTTACAGTGGCACCAAAGAATAAAGGAAATACTCAAACGACTGTTTATGAAGCAACGTTGCCAAACATTCATTCCGTACTTAACAATAACTATTTAAGCTACGGTTTAGCTGCTATTATTTGTAAAAATTTAATCCATCCTTATTCCGAACTTACGCTAAAAGTAACTATTCCCTAAGCGTGTTTAAACGAAGTTACACCAAACTTTTATTGGTGGGGCTGAATGTATTTACAACATTGTGGTGAATGTCTTTAGAATGCATTATGTTTTGAAGGAAGGGATACCGTAGGCCGTTGAATCAGTCAAAGCTGCGGTGCCACATGCTTTTAGGATGCCGTATCATACTGTGCTCAGAAAGTTCGTTCCGATTGTTAACATGTTTGTTGGTCTGTGTATAGTATGTTTTTTAGATTTATGGTTTTAATCGCATCAAAGTTAAATGTGATTTTGTTTACTTTTCTTCATTTAGTCTTTAGGAGGTAAATTTACTAATTTACAATTTTTAAAAAATTTAATTTCCTTTCACTATGCAAACTTAATGTGGAACATCCACAGACCGTAAAGTACAAGAGTGGTAAAGTGCTCAATAGTCCAAATAAACAAATGGCCATTATGACTCTTTAATTATATTTTCCAACGCCATTCGTAAGCCTGCCTAACGACCGCTCATCTGGCGCGAGGCAGTTGGTTTCCCTTGAATCAAATCGGTTTATTCCCGTGGGGCCGACTTTTGTCATCAATGAAATTATAAATATTTTGCTCGGAAATCACAACTTGTTACTTATCAACTGTTAAAGGAAACAAGTGGCTCGGCCTTTTTGCAACTGCATGTAGTTGGCTTCATTTTGGATATTGTATTGAAATAGTGGTGCACTAGAAAATTAATTTCTTCCTGATTTCCTATGAAATTTCGAAGCCCAAAGGAGGTGAGAGGCTTAACAGAAACGTTCCTGTGTACTGGAGCCTCATAGGAACAGCTTTAGATTTGAAGAAAGGGAGGAAATAAGATTTCAGAAAATTGGAAAGGTTAGAGATAAACTACTTGAGCGCTAAACTAGCGTTCCACCCCATTGCGGGAACCATTGACCATCAGGCGCGTAACTTTCGATTCTTCCAGTACAGCAGGAAAGGGAGTTTGGCATCACTGTCGTCATAAGAGACCCTGCTACTTTCTAAACCTAGAACGCGCCATAGCTTTACACTAAAACTTAACAGCGCCCACCTAAACTCCAACTAAATTTTAATTTAAAATTCTGAAATCAAAAAACCTAAAAAAAATTTCTGAAAAACTAAAATTTAAGAAATTGTATGCTCTAGGAAAGAAATTATTCTAGAATTTTTGTTCCAATAATCCGACTGTACAAAGAGAAATAATTAATACGCGTTTTTATTTTAAAATTTTTGGTAAGGTATGAGTGAAGGCGGGTTTGCATTAATACCTATATTTATTTTTTACATCACAATTCTGCAATCACTACTTTTTCTATTCAATTTTGTATTTTCTTACATAGTGTACGTTCAATTTTGAGAGCCACTGTATATCATAGAACATTATTCATGCGCTCTTACTCCAGAAAGTGCTCGGTCGCCTATACTTCGCCCTTTGATTGGGTTGGTATGAGGAATCGCGGAAATGAGACAATTTTCCGAGTTAGCTGCTTTCTAAAAAAATTTTTAACTATAGTTTTTATGATTTTTTAGCAGTGGCATTGATGCTTCGCGATGTACAATAAAGTTTCTATACGAGTATATCTAGGGGCGCAGAGGGCAGCCATGAGACACTCGTTTTGAACTACTTGCAGTTTGTTTAATAGATAATTTGCTGCGATTGCCCAACTCGGGCATGCGTAGTCTATTTGCGGCCTAATTATTGCTTTATAAAGCGTGAGGCAGTTTGCCGTTGAGTTTGCTCCGCTTGTGAAACAAGCTTCGCAATCTGCCTCGGGTCTGCCGCGCTTTCTGTCGCACATTTTCTATGTGCAGATTGAATGTCAAAGAGCTGTCTAAAGTAACTCCTAAAGATTTGACATTTTTTGTCCAATTAATCGCGTCTCCGCATAGCGCGAGTGGCCTTGGCCGCGTGAATCTGTCTCCGTGTGAAGAGTACAGCTGCACTCTTTACTCACATTGACTTTGACCCGCCACAGTTTGTCACTCATGGATCTGCAACAAATGTTGATCCAATTACTTCTGGAGAAGCTCGATACTTTTTGACATGGCAATTACAGCCGTATCGTCTGCATACAAGGCGAGTCCTGTTTGTGGGTGGGTGGGAATATCACGCACGTAAAGGCTGAAGAGCGTAGGAGCAATCACGCTCCTTTGCGGCAC